CGATTCTTCTTTTTCAAACCAGTTAATTTTGCATCCAGATCCTGATGGCTCCACAACCCCGTGTCAACCACACCTCAGGGAGCAGACGCTCCCGAGTACAAGCTTCCTACCGCTGCCGAGTCTGCTCCGGAAGCCATCCACTACGGGACTGCCGTAGCTTTCTCAAGCTGAGCATGGTGAAGAGGCTCCGAGCCGTGCTGGTGAACAAATACTGCCGGAACTGCCTGGCTCATCAGCACTCTGGCAAGGATTGCCGAAGTGGTGGCCGGTGCAAGGTGTGCCACAAGGACCATCACGTCCCAGCGTCCAGCCCGCTCGGAATCGCCAGCTCCGTCTCCAGCTCCGGTGTCCCGAGCCGATCGCCGGCCCCGTTCTCCGGAAAGACGCCCCAAGACGGGGCCCTTCCGGCGGCCAGCCCGCTCAAAGTCGTCGGCCGCGACTCCAGGTCCGTCTCCAGCTCCGGTGTCCCGAGCCGATCGCCGCCAACGGGTTCCCGCAAGACGCCCAAAGACGGGGTCCTCTCAGCGTCCAGCCCGCTCGGAGTCGTCAGCCGCGACTCCAGGTCCGTCCTCAGCTACGGTGTCCCGAGCCGATCGCCGACCCATCGTGGGTCATCCGGCTCCATCGGTTGATACGCTGCTCCAGCACCGAAGCACCAACTGTTTCCCGACAGCCCGGGTGGTCTTGGACACGGGAACAAAAACCCACGAGACAACGGCGCTCATCGACCCATGCACGCCGGTGAGCTGCATTGACGCTTCCTTGGCCGCCGACTTCAAGTTGCCCAGCACGCGCATCGGAGCGGAGAAGGTTGCCACCGCTATCATCCGCGCCAGGACCGGCGATGTCCAATTGGACGTGGTCCTCAAACTGGCGCCCCGCTTACGCGTCCGCACGCCGCTGCGACCCTTGAGCGAGGCGACTCGGGTCAGGTTCAACGACATTAGCCTTGCCAATGAGCAATTCCATCGCCCGGCCACCATCTCTCTAGTATTGGGAGCAGATGTCTACCAGAAGGTGATCCAACCCGGGTTCCTTGCTCGAGGAGACGGCCTTCCAGTGGCCCAAAGCACTGTTTTCGGATGGATTGTGTCCGGGGCCTGTACGCAGCCATAGGAGGTGATGTTGCAGTCCTGAAGGGGGGGGGAGGATGTTTAGGGCAGCAGCGCGGTTAACAGCATTAACAGCGCTCTGTTAGCTCGCGCGCTCTCCCATGCCCTTCGCTCTCGCGCGGCGTGGACGCGATCCACTCGGCGCTCCATCACGGGCGCTAGCCGTAGGCCGAGCTGGAGAGAACAGTCTCTCGACACCTACGCGCCCGACTTTTTATTTATTGGGAATACGGGCTGTGGGATCCATCAACATCCACCCTCCTACAAAACACCACCGAAGTAACATACCTTGATGTTCATCTGGATAGAAGGCTTACTTGGCGTAAGCACATCCAAGCGAACAGAAATTTACGGAATGAAAATATCAATAACGACTAAAATGTAGGATCAGTTATAGATGAAATTGCCAAAGCAAAGTATCAGGCCAAGCTTGAAGCCCATCCTAATAGACTTGCGCAGTAATTAACTTGGCACACTAGCCATACACGACTCCGGCGAAGAGACCTCCCACCCAGCAATAATACTTAGCTAGGAACGTACTCTAAATAATTTAGTGTAATTAATTAAATAAATGTATTAGGTTAAGATTTGCATGCTTGTCGTCAGTCTCTAATAGGATAGATTAGATAAATAAAATACCGTAGATAAAAGAAAAACGAGAAAGAAAAACGAGTCGCTTCTGGGGACGCGACTCTACTTATACCCGTACTCAGTCAGTATATACATTTTTGAGCTTATGATATTTTAGAATTACATTTTAAATTTTTTTTGCTACATCTGTTATCTACATATACATCTACAATGTATATTATGCATCTAACAGGTAGATTATACATTGTGCTGTGCATGGTTCTCAAAAAAAGAGAAAAATTTGTTTTTTTTATTTTTCGTAGAATTCGTATAAATTGTTATCGATTTGGCGGGAAATTTAAGCTCATTACGTTAGGAGATACACTCGCGAGTTTCACAACACAGTCAGCTGGGAAGAAAGCTCGTAAACTCGATCGTTTTGGGTGGAGCGAGAATAGGTTCTTGTCGAGCTCAGCGAATTTTCTCTTCCTATTTGATCGTACCAGCGTAACTGACCAGACCTAATTTCTCGTATCGAAACTAAATTACGCGCTTAACCAGTTTAATAGTATAAGTCCTAAATATTCAAAGAGCAATCTCGAAATATTTAAGGCATCCGTGGGAATTTTAAATAAATCTTCGTGAAGAATTGTTTTGAAAGTGGTCTATAGTTCGGCCAGGTAACTATTTCGTGGAAGATTGTAGGGAGTCACATGGAATTTATAAGACTGTATTCCAGAACAGATTTTGGTTCCAAGCAGGCGCTTTTAAAACATTGCTGTGCCCAACAAAAACATAGCGAAGGAAAATAAAGAAAAAGACCAGATCAGGGTCAAGTCAGGGGCAGAAGAACCCGTGGAAAGGGCCGAGCTCCCCGACGCAACTTTCTTTGGCAGACCAGCAGCCGCAGCAACGTTACATATGCGCAGTCTGAGTTTGTTCGATTGACATTAGCGGGAGAGCAGGGTTAACGACCGGAGCAGAACGTTTGGAAAACGGAATACCGGAGACAAGCAGAAGAAGGCGAAGCAGCAGCAATTAGTGCATTAGTGAAAATTTAGGGTTTATTAAAAGAAATTCGCAATTACATCAAAAAGAAGACATGTAAACGAATAGGCACGTTCAAGATCACCAACACATGTACAACCGGACAAAAGAATAAAGTGTAAAGTAACTAAGACATGCAAAGTGAGTGAAAAGGCAGAGTGAAAATAAACCAGTGAAGCGAGACTTGTAATGCTCTATCACCTCAAACTAATTACCTAAATTTAAAATCAATAAAAAAATCAAACCGATCTTCTAGAAGGCCTTCTACGATAAATCTGGGTGAGTCCAACAGACCGAATAAAAACAATCAATAAAAACCAAAAGAAATTAACCATGTAAAAGAAAGCGTGGAAACCGACATACCCGTCTCTGTGAGATAGAGTGTGCGATCGAAAGAAGAGGTGAAGAAACAGAGATAGCGATGCAATCCGCAAAGCACCTGCACCGATTTTTTGCGTGTTTGTTTTGATTTTGCGTTTGCTGACTTTCCTCGTTTTATTGGTTTCACTTTGATAACAGGAAAACCTTAATCCCTTATGATATATTTGCATTAAACTGATTTTTCTATATTATTATTAATTTTTATATACTATGTTATTATTTAATTAAAACTTCTTTTCAGCGGTTGTATATGTGAAAGTGAATATGAGCAAAAGCAACGAGATTACAAATTAGTAAGAATATAATTTATCAAAGAAATTGTTTGAGCAATAATAATGAAAATAGGGTATTATTTGAGCGCAGAGGCGTTGCGAAGTCCCAGGATCAGTTCCCAAAGATAAAGACGATAGGCAGTTCCTTCTTCTTCAGTGTTTATTCGTAGGGGTTTTATACACTAATTGTATATGTAATCGCGTGCGAAGGTAACCCGTGTCGCTTAGGATGAAGGAATCGAATGTGTCTTGAAGTTACGCTCAAGCTGCTGAGGGCTGCTGCGAGCGAGAGCGGGAGCGCACGTAGATGGAAGTTGCGCTCAAGCTGCCGAGGGCTGTCGGCAGCGAGAGCGGGAGCGTGATCGTGGGCGGGAGCGTGCCCGTGGTGAATTTAAGCATGAAGAGAGCGTCGCCGGGGGGAAAAATGCTCTTAAGTATGAGGGCGAAAGCGAGGGCAGCCGCTTGCGTAGCTGGAGTGCTAACACTGAGATGTGGCTGGAGTGCCCACAGAGCGGTTGCCCCGCCAACGCCGTCCACTCTGAACATTCTCCCCCCCCTTGCAGGATTGCAAAGAGTGTTTAAGTCTGCGTGCACGCACAAGACACAATCCACTCAAACACCGTGCTTTGGGCCACGGGGAGGCCGTCTTCGCGGGCGAGGAAGCCCGGCTGGATGACCTTCGGATAGACATCTGCTCCCAAGACGAGCGAAATGGTCGCCGGCTTGTGGAACTCCGTATTGGCCAGCTTCAGATCATCGAAGCGAGCCCGGACAGTGTCACTCAGTGGACGGATCGGGGTGCGGACGCGGAGACGGGGCTCGATTTTGAAGACGGCCTCCCACTGGAGTCCTTCCGTCTTAGCCCGGATTATGGCGGTGCACACTCTCTCATCCCCGATGCAGGTGGTTGGCAGCTTCAATTCCTGAGCCACATCGGCGTCTATGCAGCTGACCGGCGTACAGGGATCGATGAGGGCGACCATGCTGTGCGTCCTCTGTTGCACCGCGAGGACCACCCGTGCCGTCGGAAGGACGTTAATGCTCCGATGCTGGAGCAAGGAGTGCACTGTCGGGGCCGGATCCCAGAGGACAGGGCGGCTGACCGGACGACGAGGGCGTCGCTCTGCGCGGGAGGTTGTAGGTGGAGACGTCGATGCCGAAGAGGAGCCGACGGGGCGCCGCGGTCCTGGAAGGTGGAGCAGGGTGTGGTGGTTTTTAGCGCACGTCTTGCACTTGTCTCCACTGCGGCAGTCCTTGCCCGAGTGGGCGTGAGCCAGGCAGTTCGAGCAGTATTTATGCAACAACACTGCTCGTAGCCTCTTCTCGCCGCTCATGCGCAGGAATGTTCGGCAACTCTTCAACGGGTGGACTCCTGGGCACACTCGGCACTTGAACGAGGAACTCCTACCTCGTGCCGGTGTGCTATCGGCTTTGCGGCTTGCCCGGGACTGCGCGGAATGTTTGGGTGCCATGGCTATACTCCGGAAGATGACTGTGATGGAAGAAAAGAGTCAAGGAAGGATTAGTACAGTGTTGGCACGGATTGTCAACGATTCGAAAAGGGAGCTTTCGGAACTGCTTAGGAACTACGGATACTATTGCTGGATTAAGCGGATTCTTAGGGATCGGAGCCTACGCGAGGGTAGGTGGAAGGGACTTCCGAATCCATAGGCAGCAGAACCACCTTCGTGATCGGTCGCTTGATAAGGCCGCAGGCGGTGAGTAAGTCTACCACGCGAACCTTTTCATCGGGTCCCGGATACGTGCTCTGAACACGGCCGAGACGCCATTCGTGAGAGGGGATGTTTTCCTTCTTGATCACTACGAGGTCTCCAACCTCGAGGTCCCTTGTCGGATGCTGCCATTTGTTGCGCTTGTGCAACTCTCGCAGGTACTCTGTCTTCCAGCGCGAACAAAATTGCTGGTTGAGAGCCTTGAGGTGTTGCCAGCGGTTTAGGATGGAAGAGGCGCTCGCCTGAATTTCGGGCTCTGCCACGGATAGTAGCGGCCCACCAATCAGAAAATGACCTGGGCTCAAAGCCAACGGGTCCGTTGGGTCCTCAGACATTGGAGAGAAAGGTCGCGAACTCCTCTAATGTGTATTTGGAAGTACACATCGACCGTTGGAAAAGAGCCTTGAAGCTCTTCACACCCGCTTCCCATAAGCCCCCCATATGTGGGGCCCCTGGAGGGATGAATCGCCACGTGAGCCCCTGCTGGCTGTACACCGCGGAGGTCCGAGTGCGGAGGGCCTCGAGAAGGTCCACAGCCAGAGAGCGGGATGCGCCGACAAAATTCCTCCCGTTGTCGGAGTGGACTTCGTGGGGACAGCCTCGTCTCGCGACGAACCGGGCGAAGGCGGCTAGGAAAGTGTCGGTGGACAAGTCGGACGTAGCCTCCAAATGGATGGCCTTCGTGGTAAAACAAACGAAAACGCACACATACCCCTTGGAGATGCGACAGGCGCGTCCTGTGAAACTTTTCACGTCGAACGGCCCGGCGAAGTCGACTCCGGTGTATGTGAACGGCCGCGAAAATGTAACTCGTGAGGAAGGAAGGTCGCCCATTAATTGGGTTTGGAGTCGCTTGCGATGGATGACGCAGACCTTACAGGAGTGGATTACAGCCCTCACGACGTGACGTAGTCGAGGGATCCAGTATGTTGCCCGGAGAAGGCGGATGACCAGCTGGTTCCCACCATGTAGGGATACGTGATGGGTGAATCGAACCAGCAGGCGAACCAGGAGGCATGCGGGTGGCAACAGGATTGGATGCCGCTCGTTGTAGGTCATGGATGCCGAGGCTCGGACCCGGCCACATGCCCGCATGACTCCGTTCTGGTCCAGGAACGGATTGAGGTTCTGAAGAGAGCTCGTAGTCGGAAGTGGCTGCTTGTTTACAAGACAGCGATGCTCCGCCGTATAATGGAAGCGTTGGGTCGTGATGGTGACAGCTTGGAGAGCTGCAGCGACCTCTTTATTGTCTAGCTCTGTGGATACGTGGACTGGCGCTGCTTGCCCTCTGACGCGCTGGCCGAACCGCCGAACGTAGGCGATCACGCGCAGAGCGCGTCCGAATTCGGAAAATCGGCTGAGAATGTCCGAGGCGGTGTCAGTGGCGTGGTGAACCTTGACGGCTCGTTTCTCCAAGTCGGTCTCAAGGATTGAGCCTCGTGGACAAGGCCACTCCGACTGCGGACCACGCAGCCACGCAGGGCCATGCCACCACATGTCATTGCCGACCAGTTCAGTGGGTCCGAGCCCTCGACTGGCGAGGTCGGCCGGGTTGTCCTCGGATCGGACGTGGCTCCATCGTTCGCGGGGCCAACAGCGAGTGATTTTGGCGACTCGATTCCCTACAAAAGTGGTCCAATCACATGCCGGCCTGTTCAACCAGGCCAAAAGTACACCTGGCTGGCGTCGAGCGGCATTTGAGGAAGGATGGCCACGGAGAGTTCTGTCAGAAGGACAGCTCCGCACAGCTCGAGTCGAGGCAACGAGACTGTTTTCACGGGGGCAACGCGGGTTTTTGCTGTGAGAAGGGTACACACAATGCCCTGCGGACGCTCAACTCGGACGCAAATCGCTGCCCCATAGGCACGTTGAGACGCGTCGCAGAACCCATGAATCTGTACCTTGGCCATCGGACAGACGTGTAACCACCGCGGAATGCGGATCCCTTGGATGGCCGGAAAGCTTTTCAGGAATGTCTCCCAGGCTTGAGACAGATCGTTAGAAAGGACGTCATCCCATCCTAACTCTCTCAACCAAATCTCCTGCATAAATATTTTCGCTTGGACGACGAAGGGGGCAAGCCATCCCGCTGGATCAAAGAGCTGCGCGATCTGGGACAGCACATTGCGCTTCGTGCAGGATTTTCGCTCGTTTAAGGCGGGAGGCGAAAAGAAGAACTCGTCGGCACTGGCTTGCCATCGGATTCCCAACGTCTTAGCGATGCTACTCTCTTCCAGCTCTAGGAAGTCAGCGCGGAGTAAGTGGTCGACTGGAATGTCGCGCAGGACGCCCTTATGGTTAGCTGTCCACTTTCGGAGCGGAAACCCTGCAGAGTCGAGTGCTTCGCGTAGTTCAGCAATGGCGGAAATTGCCTGAGACTGAGAGTGAGCACCAGCGAGCACGTCGTCCACGTACATGTCGCTCTCCAGGATGACGCTTGCCATCGGCAGCTGTGGACGCACCTCTTGTGCGAGTTGCTTGATGACGCGGAGGGCGAGGTACGGTGCGCAGTTGACTCCGAAAGTGACAGTGGTGAGCTCGTAGTCACACACGTCCCCGTTACGGTCGCGAAACAGTATTCGCTGATAGGGCGTGTGTTGGGAAGCCACTTGGATTTGCCGATACATCTTGTTGATGTCGGCATTGAAAACGTAGCGAAAGACGCGCCACCTCAAAATTTGCATGGTCAAGTCAGACTGAAGGACTGGCCCAGCATGCAACGTGTCGTTGAGGCTTTTCCCGTTGGAAGACGGGCTGGAGGCGTTGAAGACTACGCGCAATTTGGTTGTGGTGCTGTCGGGTTTAAACACGGCGTGATGTGGCAGGTAGAAATGGCCGGAATCATGACTAGGTGTAACCGCTGTCATGTGGCCGAGCTCTAAATATTCCTGAATGACGGAGTCGTACTGCTTCTTGAGCGGCAAGTTCCGCTGCAGCCGCTGCTCGTTTCTAAGGAACTGGGCCTTGGCCGCGCTTCTGGAGTGGCTTAGCTCGACTTTTTCTGGACACTTGAAAGGGAGAGTAACCACGTATCTCCCATCGGGGGTTCGTTTAGTGGTCTGGAGGAAGTTTTCCTCGCACACTGAATCGGACTCGCTCGTCGGTCTCCCCGGAAGGTCCTCCACCTCCCAGAATTTGGTGAGAAGCTTCTCGAGTCGGACATCCGAATTAAACGAGAGCTTCGTGGTGAAGGCGGAAACCGTCCGAGCCGAGTCAGCTGATACCGGACCGGATAGGACCCATCCGAAGATGGTCTCTTGTCCCAGCAGCGAGCCACAAATGGCAGACTGGAAGCCGCTCAACAGGATAGCAGGAAGGATGTCAGCGCCTAGAAGCACATCAATCTGCGAGCTTCGGTGGAAGGAAGGGTCTGCCAATTGGAGGTTTGGAAGGTTCTCCAAGAAGTGCTGCGGTATCGGATATGAAGGAAGGTTGCCTGCTAATTGAGGCAGAACATATGCCGTGGTCTCGATCTTGAGGCCCGGCCTGGAGGCGGCCCCGATCATGAAGTGGCAACGCTTTTGCGCCTCAGCCGCTACGGTTTGGTTTAAACCCGCGACTTGTTCCTGGATAGCTTCGAACGGTGGCTTAATGATGTTAAAGAGGCGTTCAGTGATGAACGTCGCTTCGGAGCCTGAGTCGATCAGAGCGCGGGCACGGAAATTGGTCCCCAGGTGGCAAATATTAATGACTGCTGTGCCCAGAAGAACGGTATTTGTGCTGGAAGAGAAATAGCTCTGTACGTTGGGCTGAGAATCGGACGAGCTGGGGGTTTGGGCGGATGTCGAAGCTGCCATGTTGGACGGAGGCGCGGAACGATGCAGAAGCGTGTGATGCCTGGCTCCACAAGTGGAACAATTGTGGCTGCTTGAGCAGTCGCGAAGCTGATGGCCTCTTGCGAAGCAATTTAGGCACAGCTGTTTTGTCTTGATGCAATTGGAACGTGCATCAGCGGACATGTTGAGAAAGCGCGGACATAGTCGGATCGGGTGATTCTCCTTGGAACAGAGATCACACGTCCTCTTCTTCGGACTCACTTGGTTCTTGAAAGAAAGAACCTTGTTCGGCACCGAACTGCCGTGCGACCGGAATGGATTGGATCGGCTGCAAGAAGTGGATGGATTCTGGCTGCCTTGGGAGGGTGGCGGATTCGTAGCCACTCGGGAAGTGGAAGGGTCGCTCTCAATAGCTTCGAGCGTCAAATAGCGCTGAGTAAGGAAGGAGTCGATTTCCTTCCAGGGCGGCACTTCCTTCTTGTCCGTCACGGACGCTTCCCATAAGGCGCGGCTTAGCTTCGGCAACTTTGAAGCGCAGATAGTTACAAGCAGACTATCCCAATTGTCCGTGCAAACGTTGGAGACCGCTAGCGCATTTAGGACTCCCTGCATCGTACTTTGAAGTTCCTTCAAAGCCCGACTGCATTCGGAAGTTACGCGGGGCAAGAAGAGGAGAATGTTAATTTGGTTGGTCACCAGAAGCCGATTGTTCTCATATCGGCTGCGGAGAGCCAACCAGGCGGACTCGAAACCGTCATTCGTGAGGGGGGACTTTTCTACAATGGCCTTTGGGTCGCCCCTGGTCTTCTCGGTGAGGTAGTATAACTTCTCTACCGGAGATAATTTTGGATTGTTTATCACGACCGCGGTGAACAGATCCCGGAATGTGGGCCAGCGGACGTAGTCCCCTGCGAAAACCTCAATATTGACGGGAGGCAGTCGACAGCCGCCCTGTTGGACTGGCTGTGCGGGAGGAAGGACTGCGGAGGGGGCCAGCTGGGCATTGAGGTCGCTGAGACACTGCTCAAATACCCCATAGCATTCGCCATATGTTTCCCGGATGTCCGCTTGGATTTCTGGATCCTCGTCAGCCATCACCGCGGAACAGGCCTTGTATTCGGCCTCGACGTCCGTCCACATGCTGAGGATTTGGCTCGGCGGACCTCGGACAGAGGGGCGGATGGGGCGGAAGTGATACGCTCTGCCAGGTGGGATAGTCGGCCAATGGCGGCTACCAACTTGGTCCGAGCGGCAGAGGTGGCGGATTGAGCCATTGTGGTGAAGTGGCGAGAGCTGACGGGACTAGTGATGCAGCCTTTCGGATCCTGTTTAGTCACCGATGGAACCTTAAGGGTCACCGGAGACGGGAATAGGACCGATTTGGTCCTTGTAGCAGGGCTGCTACTGGCTGCTCTCGGAGTGAGGGATGCCTTGATTGGCTGTGTCGGAGTAGTTCCGGAGGCGGACGAGGTGCGTAGCCGGTTGGACGAGGTCACAGGCAAAAGTTGTTTGCCGTCCTTGTGACCTGTTGGCATAATTTAAAAGGACCCACGCAAGAAAAAATCGGTTTTTTTTTGGAAGTCTGTGAGGGACTGCAGACTGGTCTGAATAGAGTTGACTCGGAACCGTCAGGAAACACCCGTAACCCAAACACGGACTATCAGACAAAAGGCCTCAAGCTAGCTGGAAGGCAATAATCGGAACGACTCGGATTGTTTGAGGTCACCTGTAGGTGAGAAATCTCAAACAATGAGTGACCCTATATTGAGCCGAGCTGAGGAGAGGAACGGTCACACTGGAGTAGCAATATTTGGAAATATTGACTGTGCGATGCTCCTCCGTTTACCCCTTGACGCAGTCGTGAGCGGAACTGGGTTACTATCGGATGGAAGGAAGCAATGGAAGCAGGCACGGACACCTCACAGAAACGGAACAACAATAACTTCTTTGTCAAAACAAAAAAAATATTTTTTTGTTTGTGAACAAAAAAAGACTTGGAGGTTTTTCTTGGACGTGGTCGGAGTATTTAATTATTTAACTAATTTTTTTTTTTCCTATTCGGATGAACACCGGGTTCGGATGCCGATAGTTTTTGGGCCACCTCTCACTCTCGGAACAAAAAAAATATCAAAACACGCAACACAATTTGCCAATTTGTAAGGTAAATTGCCAAGTAATTACGGAAAATGCGCCGTGCCTTGGTCGCGAGTAATTAATTTGGACTCTGGAGAATGTGGGAGAAATTGGGACCTTGCGAAAAGTGGCTGGAGGGCACGAATTTCACTTAATCGCGGATTTTCAAATATGGCACTTGCGCGGAGTGGTGGAATGCGGTATTTAATTATTTGGTATTTTTGTTGAATGTGTGTATGTATGTATATAGTTGGGAGCCAACTATGCAAGTAAATGTAATAAATAAATAAATAAAATAAATAATAAATTTAATTAAGAAAACACAGGTAGCTGGATGGATACTTTTATTGCTGCTGTACTGTGTATATAGGTTGGTATGTGTGTGTGTTCACTTGCACTTGGAGTGTGCCAGTGTATATTGTATTAGGGTAGGGTGCGGATGGAATGCTCTTGGAGACCTGTATATCAATGTAGGTGTGTGTGAATTCACTTGAACTTGCAGTGCTTTCCTATTGGGGGGGACACACTAGAAAAATATTAATGTATGTGTGTGTGTATGTACGCAAGCTGCTCTCATGGGCTGGAATGTGCGTACATACATAGGCGCGGAATACACTTTTATTTAATATATTGTATTAAATAATTAATTATTTTGGTAAATAATTTGTCCGCGAGTTATGGACGGACACAAGAAACCGACGAAAAACTACCGTATTACTGGTAATTCGAAGTGAAGTACCGGAGAACGGCCGGAATTGCCGATAATATGGCGGTGGCGAAGTTGGAAGCACTACGGATAACGGAGATGGCGAGAGTACATATATAAGACTATATATATGTACTTCGGTCGCGGCACTTTGAACTCGCGGAATTTTCTCTGGAGCACAAACCGCTAAATGGAGGCGGTTTATGGTAAAGAAGGCAAGCGTACTTATCTTGTGATTTCCTGGTGAAGGCGATGCCGTGCTCGAAGGCTGGAGAAGCTTTTGGGGAAGCAGTAAATCCGGCTCGAAGGACCAATATTTGAGCGCAGAGGCGTTGCGAAGTCCCAGGATCAGTTCCCAAAGATAAAGACGATAGGCAGTTCCAATTTCTTCTCGTATATATTTCGGGGTTGTTCTGGGCTTATATATATATATGTATTTGTATCGCGTGCAAAACCGGCCGTTTGCTTGTGGGTGAAGAAGCGCATTGCCTAGATCGGTGGCACTCCAGCTGCCGAGGGCTGTCGGAGGCGAGAGCGCGTCACCGGGGGGGCCCATAAGCGTGAGAGCGAGAGCGAGGGCAACAGCTTGCGTAGCTGGATTGCTAACATTGGTGTGGCTGGAATGCCCACAGAGCTGTTGCCCCGCCAGCGCCGTCCTCACTCTAAACAGGTATAAAAGTCTAGTTATGAAAGCAAAAGAATATTATTATGAAGTATTTAAGTGGTGTTGGCTTATTAAATGAGTTATGAAGATTAAAGGTAATGGTTTCAAGTATTAAGCTTTGTGTAAAAATTATGGAGTAAATAAAATAATTAATATTTCCTTGAAGTAATGTGAAGAAGAAGAGAGAGAAGAGATATCGTTTTTGGGAGTTTTTCGAATATTTATTGCGCGCAGAAAAGCTCAATGGTCGGGAGGGTTGAGACGCGTTACTGCATACCATCAAGCAGACTCACGGTCCACACATCTCAATGGAATGGGTGTATTAGTGAGAAATTGAAGAGAGTAGAGTCTGGTTCAAAGTTAATCATTTTTCATTCGTTGTGAGTCGCGTTGCACTTTGCATTGCGTTGATCGATGGAAGTAAACATTAAGGCAAGGGACATTATTAAATGTGTGCTCTGAGGTTGGAGATGGAATGGGTCAAGAACCCCCCCACAGGCTGTTTTGCTAGCTGTGTCCCATCGACCTTCTTCACTGCCAAAAGGATACTCAGGGAACGTCCAACGTTAAGACCGGCCTCACGCTGCGGTCTGCACTGTGCTATATGCATAGAGGGGTTTGGTACATTACATATTTTGGCGCCCAACAAGGGGCAGCTAAGCTCAAGAGCCTAGATAGACTAAGGATTGAATTAGTGCTTCATTTTCAGTTCCAGCTTTATGGTGAAAAACAAAATTTTTCCTTTTCGTGTCCAGGGATCAAGTAGAATTGACTGGCGAAACAGATTGTTGGCGGGACCGAGAATCTACCGCGAGTTAACTGCTTTTGATGTTCCTGTATACAACTGTTATGGATCAAAGATGGTACCGAATGTTAGTCCGAGCATCGAAAGGGTGAACTGGCTTTCACGGGATTAAATACCAACCAACTATTTGAGAATACCTTGTGGCGAGCATACACAACAGGTTGACTCAGAATTCTACAATTGGATTGATTCCAGTTAGAACTAGGTCGACAGGTGTTAACTTGAAGCAGCGAGTTTAGTCTCTTGGAAAGTTGGATGATCTTAGGAATTTTGTCGGGTCATTAACATGGCATGTGGTTGGGGTAGCATTGAGTCGAATACAATTTCATTGGTAACAGCATCCGAAATTGTACGATCAATAGCTGGCGTAACTAACATAGGGTTATTGAATTGATGCACCTGGAAAACAAATTCTTTAATTTGTTTGGTTTATTGAACTAGACAATTACCTAACTCATATGTTTGAACTCTTTTTCGGATCGTTACGGATAGGAAATATTTTATAAAATTAGAAAAAATTATTCAAACGTTTAGAAAAAAAAAATTTGTTTATATTAAATTTTGTTACAAATTCATCCCAAAGAAGCGATGAATAGAACAATTGTTGAACATAGTCCCAGAGCGGGTCGGGAACAACCTATGGACGACATAAGGATATTCGAAGTGGAACATCGTTGCAATATTTGCAAGAAAGCCATCGTCGCAGAGGAACAGTGCGGTGTAACTCCCTGCGATCACCTCTTTCATCGGAATTGCATTGTACCGCATATTGAGGAGCATAAGGAATGTCAAGTTTGTAGGAAATTGATTAGTAATAGAGACATTAAAGCAATCCAAGTTCGGGTAAACAAGGGGCAACAGGTACGACAAGTAATCCACCGACGCCAACAGGTGCCATTCCGAAAGGATATAATACGAGAAGCACTGGAAATAGGAACTTGGAAAAAGGAGTAGGAAAGGAACTAAGGAAAAAACACTTAGCTAATAGGGAACGACGACCGGCTAAACAGGCAAAAGCACAGGCCATAGCTAGTCAAGAAAATCCTCTAGGTAATACCCAAGGTTTAGATTTACCGAACAGGCAAGAAACGGATAGTGTAAACCACTCGGTGACTAGTTCAGTTAGCTTCGGAAGTACTAATTGGTCGGCAATATTAGAGAGTCTGGAAGCAATAATCGAGGCGAAACTAGCAGGAAGGTCCGTACAAAATTCACCGTCGGCAGCTCATAATACGACGGAAGCTAGAGATTCGGTCCACAGTAACCCTAGGGAAGTTAATAGGGATAGCAGAGGAAACAATCGATCAATCTGTACTTTGAGTACAGAAAAGATCACTCATCTAATTCAAAATTGGAGTTTACGGTTTGATGGTGCATCAAAAGGTCTACCGGTTGAAGGATTTTTATACAGACTACGAGCTTTTACGCATGACTGTCTTAGTAGTGATTTTAAAGCCATCTGTAGAAACCTACACATTCTGCTTGCAGGAAAAGCGAGAGATTGGTATTGGCAATATCGCAAAGAAGTCGTCGTGATCGAATGGCAGGAGTTCTGTACGGCACTTAAACGACAATACGTGGATTTACGTACAGACGATGAGACCGAAGAAGAGATGAGGGCTAGAAAGCAGGAAGTTGGAAAAAGCTTTGATGATTACTACGATGACGTCATGAATATTGCAACACGGTTGACAGTACCGCTGGAAGAATCGCGCCTCATCAAAATTCTCATTAGAAATCTTCGTATGGAAATTCGACATCAGATTTTGTTTGAAGAAATTTCATCCGTGGGTCAATTAAGAAAGATGTGTCGCATGAGAGAAAATTTGATA